TCCCCCTGACCCCCCAAGTAACCCTTCAGCTGCCAGGGACATATTCTTGTACTTGAGGGCTCTGCATTAGCCTAGACCCCTTTTCCTGAGAACATGCGGTAATCACCTCCCCCAATGTTAAACCCTCTACCCCCACACTGTCAAACAACCCCCCCCGTTGTCGTACGCGATATTTAGGATTAGGGGCGTGGGTTCCTTTTGAAATATCGCCCCTACGCCCTAGATATGAACCCCCAACTCACTTAGGAAGTGCCATTTTTGTCCTAAAGCCGACAGTACTAGACCCTAAATCTAACATCTAAACTCTAAACCTTAAACCCTCAACCTCAAAACAGCGACCTGAATCTTTCGCATCATGCAATAGGCAGACCCTGGGGAGGATCTAAAAATTAGATCCTCTATATAAACCCTTTAGAACCCTATATAATCCTTATATAACTTCCCATATGGTTCTAGGGGATTTAAATTTTTAGATCCTTTTGGGGGTCTGGGTAGGCAGAGGAGCGCCGAAACGAGTTCCGAAGCGCTTGCACGCTGAGGTGACGTTGTTTCATCATGGGTTATGGTCCCAGGGTTTAGGGTTTAGGGAAGTTGGTAGTTTCCCTCAAGAGGGTGACGCCAACATAGACACCAATATGATATAATGCTGATGACTTGGACCCCCAAAATGGCATCCCTAATTTTAGGAAACCCTCATTTAGGGTTGGAGGTTTTTGGGAGTCCGTGTAGTGCAGTTGGGTCCTCGGACCAAAAGTTTACTGTAGGTTTCGGGCTTAGGTTTTACCCTAAACCCTAAACCCTAAATCCTAAACCCTAAACCCTAAACCCTAAATCCTAAACCCTAAATCCTAAACCCTAAACCCTAAAACGGTTTTTGGGATGGAGGCCTTCAAATTCAGGGCTTGGAGTGGCCCACGCTCCCTTGCAGCGGGTTTAGGGTATAGGGTTTAGGGTTTAGGGTTTAGGGTATAGGGTTTGGGGTTTGGGGTTTAGGGTTTAGGGTTTGGGGTTTAGGATTCAGGGTTTAGGGTTTAGGGCCCATTAGGGTAATATTAGGGTTATATTAGGTCTATATTTGGGTTATATTGTGGTTATTTGGGGGATAATAGAAAAGAAAATGGAAACTATTATAACGGGTTATATGATATATGGGTGGTTGTCAAAATTGTGGTCCCTTTTTGGATCCCTATTCTAATACGGCCCCTAATATTACTGTACTCAAAAAAGGACCATAATTTTGACAACAACCCAAATGACCTTTTATCAGGCTCCATGGAGATGCACGCAGCAAAATCCCAGAACTAAAGCCTAAGCGCTAAAAGTTGAACTTAACATTATCCCAAAACACAAACCCTAAACCGCCACGAGCCTGCAAGCCGGATTTGTAGAACTTTTGGCTGTCACTGGTAGGGAACGACCCAAAACCCTAAACCTTTGTTTCTGTTGGAATTGCCCTGGGTTTTTTCAGGGATGGATGGGTTTTTAGGGTTACAACCTTAAAGCTTGGGCCCAAAACCCTAGGCACAATCAGTATGGAGATTGCATCCCCCTAAACATTTTCCCTTTCACCTTTCCCCTACTCCCCCCTATACCCTAAACCCTATACCCTTGGAATCCTTACCCGATACGTTCTCCAAATAGCGAGTGGTATGCACATGGGAGAAGCAACTTTTAATTCTGGGTATTCGAGTCACGATGAGAGAAAACGATCATATCTTCCTTTTTGGTGGAGTATCTTATAGGAAGACTATTGTTTTATGTGGTTCAACCACGAAGAAACCTTGCTCATTGGAGGTATGATATGAAGGCGCAGTATTCGTTGCCCAGTACATGGCCGGGCAAGTATCCGGACCTTGCCAAGTGTCCAGTGAGGCAGAACCACACGTGGTTAGGGTTTAGGGTGTAGCATTTAGGGTTTAAGGCTGGGGTTTCTTAAAATGGGGCCTGGGGACCCTAAGGATTTAAGGGGTCAAAGAGGATATCCAGGATCTCCCATGCAGGGATGATTTTGATGAGGGCCGCATGTCTTTCCGTACATTGTGGTCCTATCCTGCATGTTTACTTATAAACGCTATTGCGTACCCGCCTCGGCTGGCGGGGAGCGGAGCACACGAATAGGTCATGGCATGTAGTTGACGCGTGAGGTTTAGGGTTGAGGGAGTAACGGAGGCAAGCCTCACTTCAGACGTGTTTGTTGCATGCCTCTTCCAGCATTGATGGAGGGGTTGGCTGGGCTTAGTCCATCAGCCTTGAGTGAGGGAGTTCGCAAGCTTTGAGAGCCGTAGAAGCGGCCTTAAGGAGCAGGGCTGCGTTCCAGGTCGGAAGCTGTAAGTCCCAAGTGCAATTCGTCGCTACTCCCCGGATCCTGAATTTTTCCTGACTACGGAAGAAGGTGGTCCAGGTGTTGCACAAGCAGACAGAGGGGGGGGGGGGAAGGGGGGAGGGGAGGGGGGAACGGTTTGGAGGTTTGCCAAAAAATCGTAAACAAGCCCGAAACCCTGAATGTTAATAATTCTAGCCCCGAAACCCTAAATCCTAAACCCTAAGGAGAAGGAGCAAGAGACGGCTTGTGTTTACGAGTTTGCTACTTACCTCAGCCTTGTCAAAGAATTCGGCCAAACGCTTGCCGATGACCTTGCCAACCGCCACCGAGCCTCAGATCCGAAGTTCACAGGCAAGTTCTGCAAGAAGCAGCTGGGATGGATAATTCCGGCTGTCATCTTATTAGTCAGAGGGTTTAGGGAGACTCATGTTTCATGCATGATGCTGTGCCGAGGCATCCGAACTTCCCTGATGTTGAGGATACACGTACTTCACGTGGGAATAATGATTCATGGGAAGTATCCTTCGTCTAGGGTATAGGGTTTAGGGTCTAGGGTTTACCCTATAGCGCATATATGGGATTATAATCATTATAACTGGGATCCCTAGGGTTGGGGTTCAGGAGCTCCAGCTGTTCAAGAAGTTCAAGAGCCTAGAGGAAGCTGATCGAACGAAGAAGGTTACGTCAGCTGAGCTGGAAGCTGAAGCGGATATCACTGAGGATGACTTCCATGACGCAGTGTTTCTTGCTTGAATGCTACAGAGTTAGATGTCCTTAGACCGCATATGTTCAAATGAGGGCATGTGCGCAATGCTAAGGGACAAGGTCCTGGATGATGAGGAGGGTGATGTTAAAGCTGGCTGCAAAAATCCCCGCAAGTCCCAGAACAAGGAGAAGAAGCCCGCGAAGGAGAAGACATGGAAGCTAAAAGGACAGGAGGTGCCGGGGCATACTCCTAAACCATCCTCTAAGCTTTCAGCCCCGAACCTGATAAACCATAATCCATCAAAGAAATTCCCCCTGCCCAAGGTGGACCGCAAGGCCAACACGTTGATCACTGACAGTGAAGGATATGCCAAAACGTTGGCCCAGAGCGAGATGCAGCTAGGAAGCAAACCAGTGGATACTTCCCCCCCAACCCTGAACCTTAAACCGTGTGTAAATTCCCTGGCCAGACAACTGCATGTAGCTAATGCGCTTGCAGAAGGTCGTCGCACTATGCTGCTGCTGTGCTACAAGATGTGGGGCCTGTTGTGGAGATTTTGCGAGAGGCCAAGAGCAATCTCTCACGGGGCTTGGGGCAGAAGCTTGGTGAAGCAGATCTGGAACCTTTGGTGATTGCCCCTGGGACTGGAACACAACCCTAAACCTTGCAAAACAAATCATTACGCAACCCCTAAGGCCCCAACACTGGACCCAAGCGCTATTTATGACTATCCAAAACCTGGGAATCGCTGGAAGCTTAAACCTAACCCCAAACCCCGATCCCCAAACATGCCCAAACCCTACGTTCCTATATTATAATACTATAATACTACTACTACGACTACTACTACTACTACTACTACTAGTACTACTACTACTAGTAGTAGTAGTAGTAGTACTACTACTACTACTAGTACTACTATTATTACTTCTATTACTACTACTACTACTACTACTACTACTGCTGCTACTACTACTACTACTGCTGCTACTACTACTACTAGTATACTACTAGCTATGTAATACTATATATCACTAGTACTAGTACTACTGCTACTACTACAACTATACGCCTAGTACTACTACTATTGTGCTAGCAACTACTCATCCGTGAGGCTGTTTCGAACGCCATGGAGAAGCTCAAGACTATTTCGCAGCCTGTGCGTGATGCTGAGTCAAAGAACAAGAGCAGCGCTGTGCCCAAGGGAAAGGCCAAGGCAAAAGGGAAGGCGGCCGCGGCAAAGCCGTGACCGCCTGTTTTGGGAGAATGGTGTGCGTGATCACTCGGTGCAGGTTCAGCCGATAGGATCTGTGGAGTGTTCACATGTTGTGTGAAAGAAAGCTCAGCGTGTGTGTGCACATGCCACGAGATTCTGCGAGGATGGAAAATGGTTCGGTGTAGAACTTCAAACCGTATAGTGTACTCCCACTCCCACCCTTTAAATCCGTTGACCCTAAAACTTACCCTACGGCTCCAAGTATGCTATGTATATATATATATAAGTATAGCCCGGTAACCTACTATTTAGGTAACTTGGAGCCCTAGGTTATACCCAGCAAGACATTGATGAAAGTAAACTCTTCCAGCGCCTCTCTGGCCCATGGGTCAAGGTTATGAGGGTTGGGTAATTAGTCGTATCTGTACCCCTTTAGGCTCCAAGTGGTGTTAGGCGAATTGGCCCCAAGCTGACAAGATTTCAACATTGTACTTTGGTTATCCTAGGTTGTCATGAGGGAAGTCCAAAATGCTACTTTAGCCCCAAACCTTAATAAGACTAAGCCCTAAACCCAACCTTTTCCCGTCTACCCTATACCCTAAACCAAGAGTAGACTCTAATCCCCTAACACCTGTAAGTTGTGGGTGGAATCCTCAGCCCCCAAGCCATTGACAATCCTAGGCCTTAAAGACCCAATTTCCAAGCTGCCCCTCGCAGGTGATGAAAGCAGCGACCAGCCGATCCCAGCAGCCGCAGGGCACGCGTCGGGGCCTGTGCGGCGAGGTGGTCTGAGCTTCGAGATCTGATCTAGCTACTAAGGTTTCGAGCATTGGGCGAAGGCCGCGACAGCGCGAAAGAGCTCATAACACGTGCCAGAGCTACCGTCAAGGACTTTTGAAACAGGATTGGGTCCTCCTATGATCTGGGTCTTGTGAGCATGTCCGTAGGAGTTCGGGGAGGCCAACGCAAGCAGCATCACCAGGAATATAGCAAATTTGGGCGGCAAACTGTCCAAGAGTTCGCAGAACTGCCAAAGGGATATCTTTCGATTCGTACGATTGCCTCTAGCCACTTGACTGCACTCAAATCCGCGGCCTCCATCGTGATAAGCCAGCCAGCGCAGCAATGGCCCACAGCACCTCCAAATCATTATTTGATCATGCTATCCAAGGATTTGGTCTGGGTGAAGGTTCCGCTGTTGAGTCCGAGTGACCCAACCAAAAGGGTTGAAGGAAAGCTTCCAATGGTTGACCCCCACGAGTACATCAACTACTTGTTATCGACGAAACGTGTTGTTGTCTCTCCAGATGATATTCAGATGCCTGGTCGCACCCAATTTGTTGTGCTGCGTTATTGGCTGCAATCTGCTTTTCAATCGAAGACTCAGGAGATATTGGAACCATTTTCGATCTCTGAATGTTCAGTGGGCCTGTGAACACCCTGCCTCTAATCATGCAATGCCTTTGGCTGCCCCTTGCCTCATGCGATCATTGAAGTTCATGAGCTATATAGCTAGCAGTGAATGTTGGAATAGCACGTGCCGATGATCTCTAGATCTGATTAGGTATACGGCGATGAGGCGCAGTTTTCGAAACAAGGTGACCAGTTTTTGGCACTTATGTTTAGCTTCCCGCTCCACAAGGTCAAAGGCCGGGCCCTGTACCGTGGTTCATGGGAAAGTACGTATACTACAATTGCATAATTAATGAGCAGGTGACCCTTGGACAAAGAACTTTGTCTTCTTTGTGGTCAACAGCCTCATCTCCACCGGTGAGGCCAGTTTGTGAATGGAGGTAGCTACACACGAATTCTAATAAGTTGATTTCAGGACACGCTCCGCCCAATTTATCATCGGACAGCGTGGAGTCTGACTTGTGCCTTCTACGCCATGAGACCTCAAACAGGACCTAATGGGTTAGACAGCGAGCTTTCTGCTAGACAAAGGTTGCGGGCTAAATGCCAGCCAGAATTAATGATGAGTACTGCTGTGACAGAGTTTCGTGCCGACTGGAAATTCCATGTTGAATGCTGGGGCCTGAAACGATGGTGGAAATGTGGTCTTCTTTGTCATCGTTGCGATGCCTCCAAAAACCCAAGGCTTGGCATATCATCATCCATTCAACCTATCTCCAGAACCCTGTAAAACTAAAAAAGGCCTAGAGCTAGTCAGTGGGCTTTAAATTTCAGATTGAATGTATTGGGGTCTAACGGATCGAGACCGACCTCGGCTATCTACATGTTTGGATCTAGCTGACGACTGTATGTCCCTGAAGCTCTGTAGCATAAGGATATCCCATAATAACGACACCAGGTTGGGCCAAGTCTTTACCAACTTCGGATCCGATTGGACGCGCCTCTCCACAGTCCAGGCGATCTTGGTTGCGATGCCTCAGGCTCCGAATCCGATGATATTAATTCCAGGATTCAATGTGAATTCCCTGTCCCTGGGCCATTGAGGCTTCAGATATTTCCTATGTATGGAGCTTCCGGGTGTAGGGTGTCTAGGGGTGAAAGTACGTACTAATATGCCGAATACCCTGAATTTAGGATTTAGCCGAAGTGAATTTAGGTTTAGGGTCTAGATCTAGGGTTTAGGGTTCAGGGTTCAGAGCTGCCGCCCCTAAGAA